TAAACCCTCTCCTTTCTCCTATTTTAGTTTAGCCCCTGCAGCTGTTTCCAATTTTCCACTTTCTCTCCGGCTGCTTTTGGGGAGGGGTGCTTTTCCTGTATTCTCCCCCCACCCCAGTCTCCGTTCCTCTCTCTGCTCACGAAAGTACCTCACTTCCTGCACCTTCTTGCTCCCCAAGTTCAACTCTCTGTGCCGCGTACCTGCTGAATTCTGTGGTTCAGGTTGTGCAGATTGTTGTGTTAATCCTCCAGTCAGTTTTCTAGGTGTGTAGGATCCAAAGTCAGATGCTTAACCAACTGAGCCACCCAGGTGCCCCAACCTTTAATTATTTTCAAAAAGTGTCCCTGTGGGAAAAACCATTTATACTGGGTAAACTCAGAGTCAGGTCAAATAAAGACATTCTTGTGGGTGGGGTCTTCCTGTTAACCTTTAAACAGGTCAAATAATTACAATTCTCTGAGAACAGGGCTTTGAAGAAGCTCAAATCTCATTTTGCTCCCTCCAACAGCTGCCAAGCTGCAGGTTTTTATTGCAATTGTGGTGAATTGGTTTTCAAGGCAACCATAAAGCTGGGGTGATGGAAATACCTAAATTAGAATGCCACAAAACTCACTGTGCTACCAAGAGTAAGTCATTTTTCTTGAGTCAACACTCCCTGAATAGCTGTAAGCCTTTGGTTAATTTCCTTTTGGTTAAGTTGATCCAGGTAATTGTTTTTCTTAGTGTTCTTGTTGCTTCTATGAGAAGAGAATTTTGAGAAGTCCTTACTCTATCATTTTTGCTTACATCATTCCTCCTGGTACAGTTTTAATTTGAGCTTTTCTCATAATAAATGAAGTTAAATATGTTTTCATATGTTTAAAAGCCATTTGCACTTTTTTTCTGTGAACTGTCAGCCATGTCTTTTGCCCATTTTTCTATTAATGGTTTTTGGGCTTTCTTCTCGATTTTAAGAATGCTTACATATTAGAGAGATTGGCCCTTGGTACATGATACAAATTGTAAATATTTTTTCTTAGTTTGTCATTTGTCTTTTGATTTTGCCTTTGGTGTTTGTCTTATTTTGTCATGCAAAAACTTTGAAAAGTTTTTAAAATTTAGTTAAATTTATCAATCTTTTAAAAAATTGCATCTTAATTTTAAGTTGTAACTAGAAAGGCATTATCCACTTCTGGTTTTTTAATTAAACTATATTACTTTCTAGTACTTATGATTTCATCTTTTACATTTAGATTGGATCTATTTGAAGTTTTTTTGAAGGATATGTATGAAGTATAGGTCCAGTGTGATATTTTCCCAAATGGCTAGCCAGTTGTCTCAAGATCAATTATTAAGCATCCCGTTTTTTCCAGTAATTTAAGACACCAGTTTTATCATGTACTGGATGGACATATATACTTGGGATAAACTCCAAGTTTTTTTATTCTGCTCCATTGGTCTTTCAGGCACCAATACAATATCAGCTTAAATACTGAGTTGAGGATTTCTGTGGCTGAGGAATATTCCATTGTGTATATGTGTATCACATCTTCTTTATCCATTCATCTAGCAGTGAACATTTAGGTTACTTCCATGTCTTAGTTATTGTAAATAATGTTGCAGTAAACAGAGTGGTGCATATATATTTTCAGCTTATAATTTTTGTGGATGCCTGGGTGGTTCAGTTGATTGGGTGTCTGACTTCGGCTCAGATCATGATCTCGTGGTCTATGAGTTTAAGCCCCGTGTCGGGCTCTGTGTTGACAGCTCAGAGCCTGGAGCCTGCTTCAGATTCTGTGTCTCCCTCTCTCTCTGCCCCTCCCCCCCCTCTCTCTCTCTCTCTCTCAAAAATAAATTTAAAATTTTTTTAATAAAAAAATTAAATTAAAAAAGTTAGAATTTTTGTTTTCTTTGGGTACAACATGAATGGACCTAGAGGGTCCATTTGCTAAGTGAAATAAGTCAGAGAAAGACAAATACCATATGATTTCACTTATATGTGGAATCTAGAAAACAAAACAAATGAACAAACAAGCACATAAACAGAAAAACAGAAACAGACTCAAATACAGAGAACAAACTTGTGGCTGCCAAAGGGGAAGGAGTTGGGGGATAGGTGAAATAGGTGAAGGTGATGAAGCAGTACAAACTTCCAGGTGTAAAATAAATATGTTCAGGGGATGAAAAGTATAGTATAGGGAATATTGTCAATAATGTTGTAATAACTTTGTATGGTGACAGATGGTAACTATATTTACCACGATGAGCATTGAGTAATGTATGGAATTATTGAATCACTATTGTCATACACTTGAAACTAATATAACATTATATGTCAGCTATACTCAATAAAAAAATATTGAAGACTTCCAGTATGTTTCAATATACGGTAAAGCTAGACTCTATCCCCTGGTACCTTCTTCTTTTCAGGATTTTCCTGCCAAATTTTGCCTCTTTATTTCTCCATAGAAACTCTATTTGTCTTTTCAAGTTCCAGAAGAGAAAAAACTTGGTGCTTTTGTAGAGATCACATTAAATTCTTTAAGTAACTTGAGCAGGATTGAAATCTTTATGATGTTGTCTTCTTGTCCAGGAATATATATCTCATATTTCACTGGTTGGGTCTACCTTTTTGACATCAGGAATCTTGTAGATTTTGGTGCATAAACGTTTCTTAAATATTAAACATTTCTTAATTTATTTCTGCATGTTTTATCTTTCTCGTGTTAAAAAGCAGTGGCAAGAGTTATTTCTTTGCCTTGTTCCTAGGCAAAGCAAAGTCTTCAGTATTTCCCCATTAAATAAGAAGCTGAACTTCAGGTTGAAACATGTCTATTTTATCAGAACTTGCCCTAACTTTCAAAGTATTCTTTTAGCCAGAGGGAGAATTATGTTCCAGAGTTGTGTCAAAGAAAGGTGTTTAAGAGAATTGTAAGTAATTTTAAAGAATTGTAAGTGGCAGGAGGGTAGCTTGCCTATTATGAGAGGCAGGAAATGAAATAGAGACCATTTAAGGACACATGATGAAGATCTCACAAACTGTGCTAGAGAGCTTGAACCTTCCATAGTTGTAAAAACAAAAAATCACTGAGAGATTTTAAGCAGAGGACAGCATGATTGGACTTAAGTTTTAGTGAGATTCTTCTGGGGGCAATGGCTAATAAATTCCATTAACAAAGCATTTCAAACACGACTGCAAATAAGACCAGACACCATTCACTGAATAATCCATGAGGAATAACAAGTTAGGTCCAGAAAACCAAATCATAACCATGTCACTTTTTTTTTTTTAATTTTTTTTTTCCAACGTTTATTTATTTTTGGGACAGAGAGAGACAGAGCATGAACGGGCGAGGGGCAGAGAGAGAGGGAGACACAGAATCAGAAACAGGCTCCAGGCTCCGAGCCATCAGCCCAGAGCCCGACGCGGGGCTCGAACTCACGGACCGCGAGATCGTGACCTGGCTGAAGTCGGACGCTTAACCGACTGCGCCACCCAGGCGCCCCATGTCACTTTTTTTTAAATGACTTAAAAATAATGGAGTCAGTAGATCTACTTAAGACTAAACATGAGAGACTTTTTTCTTTTCCTTTTTCTAAATTTTAAAATGTTTATTCATTTTTTGAAAGAGAGAGCACAAAGGAGCGAGGGACCGAGAAAATGGGAGACACAGAATCCGAATCAGGCTCCAGGCTCTGAGCTGTCGGCACAGAGCCCGATGTGGGGCTTGAACTCATGAACTGAGAGATCATGACCTGAGCTAAAGTCAGACACTTAACTGACTGAGTCACCCAGGCACTCCGAAAGACTTTTTTCTATTTATCTATTTCCAAAACCTGGAAGTCCTCCTAGGGAGAGTCAGCTCTGGGTGACTGTGCTGAGTCAGACCCGGTCAGGAAGTGCTGTACCTTAAAGAGGCCCCCAGCAACATGGTGGGACCTGGGCGACCCTTACAGCAAGCCCCAGAATCACTTTCATTCGCTGAGGACATGACTCTTTTCTCTCCTTTTCTTTTCCTGAGTGGAGTGCTGGAAATAGTCAAGCACAAAGCACAGCATGGTGGACAAAGAATATGATGTTTGTGTTCATGAAAAATTCAACCCTAATTATACCTCTGGGAGCCAGTGGGAGTTATGAAATAGTGTGCCCGGGATGTTCATCTTGTTAATAGATGCCAACCATGGGGTACTTATTTTCCATGCCATTTATAAAGACTTTGATGGACAGAAAAAAAGCTGCTTGCGTCAGTCCATAAAGTTATAAGATGTAAAGGATATTACAGTAATTCTTCGGGATGATTTTCATTTAGTAGCTGGTCTATGAGAATGCCTTTCCTCCCGTTAGTGCAATATTCCAGCAAATGTAATAGTCAGCTTAGCAGGAACTCTCAAAACTTTACTCACTAACGTTGGCTCAGACACCAGGGATACATTTTGCTGCCATTTAAAAGTAATTATTTTTAATATGTTTGTTAAAGAAATGGTTTAAAAATTTTATTTCTGACTCTCAGTTTAGGAGTGATAGCACCTAGATTTCAATCACATGGGTTGACTGACATACAGAAGGTCATGGTGTGACCCCAACATGACAGCCAGCTTTCTGAAAGCAAATGCGCAGTCAGGTAAGGTGAACACAAAAAAAAGGAGAAAGAGAAAACTAGCTAGTCCCTTTGCGGGACAAGGAGTATCAGCAGGTTTCTTTGGTCTGATACCAAGATCTGAATGTCAACTTTAGTGACTTTTACCAATGTTTATGCAGGTTGAACCATATGAAACTCCTGACAGTCTACTGGTTTTGACTGACAAAATCATATTTCATATGATTCAACCTGCTGCTTTCGGGGCAATATCATGTCCACACCCTAAAACTTGGCATAACCTGCAATTGCTTTAACTCTAAAGCCTTAAGCTGCCTGACTGCAGCCTCCTATCCTCCTAAACCTCTCATGTCCTCATTTCTATAATGAATCCATGCCTGCAGCCAAGACCAGTTTGCAGATCTGCTGGCCCATGGAGCCAAAAGTCCCCTGGGCATCTCAGCAAGGAACTCCCTCAGCGTGATAATTTTTTTTCCTCTTTTGTTTTTCTGTTTTGTTTTTTTTTCTTTTTTAAACCTCACTGAATGTAGTGACTCACCGCCATTGAAGAGAATGAAGGAGAATGTGCCACTTCTGAGACTGAGTCATGGGAAGCACCGCGGCCTCCATCTTGGATGAGAAGCAACAAGGAACATGTAAATGAGAGAAGGCAGAGAGGACTGTGACAAGGAGTCTGCGACTTTGTGAGTATCATAAAGTCAGTGGTGCCCTCCATCATTACCCTTTCAGATGCTCAGGCTGTGCTTTGTGGCTCGTGGAAATTGGCCTTGGTTTTTAGCAGACTTGGCCCTAAGCTGTTTCTCTGTCTACCCTTGCTCCCTTGGCAATTGCACTGGGTTCTCTCAGGGCTTTAGACCCCTTCCACGCGCTGATGATCCCAGTAGTCCTATCTCCTCCTCAGCCCCATCCTCTGAACTTCAGACCCTCACCTCCAGCTTCCACCCAGGTGTCTATCTGCCCATTGATGTTTGAAGGGCACCTCCACCCAAACCCATCATCCCCCCCATTTCACTGTAGGAAATGGAAGCTTCAACCTTCCATTTACTTGGTTCAGAATCCTTAGAGGCTCCTTGACCTTTCTCTTCCTCATACCACACTGGGAGATCTCCTTTCACTGCATGAGCCAGTCTGACCCTGTCATCGCTCTCATGGAACTTATGCAGGTCTAAGCCAACTTCATATCTTGCCTAGATTTGGGGAACATTCTCATACAAGCACTCACTGCCTCTACTCTTTCCACCAGAAGGATCCTCTGAAAAGTGTGTCAGACTATATTCCCTCCTTTCTTGAATCCTCTGATGGCCCCACCTCATTCAGATACAGTAGGGAACAAAACCAAGTTCCTCCCCTTGCGGAGATGGCACTCAAGTTGAGACAGACAAAATTTAACAACAACAATCTAACATGTAAGCAGGTGATGAGAACAAATGGCTTCTTTGTTTGAACACTTGAGCTCCCCTAAAGAGACATTTCCAGGAGTAGAAATGTCTTCAGTGTCCGGTACAAGTCCTGGCTGGATTCAGACAGTGCTATGTTCCTGGGCTCCCTGAAGAATGAGGACAGGCTGCAGTGGGAGAGCCCAGACTTTGGAGTCAGGCAGACACAGCTCCACTCTGGCCCTGCCCCCCCACTACCTGCAAGGTCTACCTATCGAATCCCTTCTCCCATGAAACAGGCTAAAGAGAGTATCTAATTCAGGGTATTTTCCTGAGGATTCAGTAAGATAGTACATAGCACCAAAGATAATGCCTGCTACCAAGTAATCATTCAACAATTGGTAGCTATTATTGCCAGTATTAATGTTAATATTGTCCCCAAGACCCAGATTTTTTTTTTCAATCAGCAAGAGTAGAAATTCCAAACACAAGAAATCACAGCCTTATAAAAATTTGAATGAAAGGAGACTACAGGGGTAGGGTTTTTGAGAACTGCCCCAGGGAAGGAAATTTCTCTGAGTACAGTATCAGTACCATGATGGAGGATCCTAGTCATGGCAGGAGGGGAGACACAGGATCAGGGGCCAGAGCCTGATACTCTGTTCTTTTTGCGGCCGCCAGGGCTGTGCTAGGACAGAAGAGGCAGTTTAAGACACTGAAAGACGGACATCAAGACAAAGGGTGGAAGGTGGTGAGGAGATGTGGGACATCTCTAACCTGCTGGTGAGTTAGAGGCCCTGAGCAGCTTGATCAATGTGGGCCTCCCCCTGATGAGATGGAAAGTAAATTTCCAGTACTGTAGTATTCTCTATGGCCTATTATTTGTATCAACCAGCACTGATGTCCAGTCAAAGCTTTGCCATGGTTGGGTGGACAGCAGACTTCTGGAGCATGGAAAGAAGATGACCCTGAACATCAGCCACTGTCTCCCACAAGGGTTGACAGTAGGATTCTGCAGATAGTGCTGAACACAAAGGGGCCTTGGAGAGCGTGATGGGACAGAAATCTTGTCTGTGCTCTAAGTTGGTCATCTGAGGGACTCCTTGTAACTCAGCTATTCAAAGGTGGAGATTTTAGCAAATATGTCTGCCCAGCAGGGGTGCCTTTTAAAATTTTGCCTCGTGTGCTAATGGGATCCTGCTCACACCCCTGTCCAGGGAGGAAAGGGACAAGGTGGCATGGGAATGCCACAGTCATCACTACCTCTATGTCCCTCATTTAGGAAGGTTGGGGTTAAGCTTCCTTATCCATAAATAGTCAATGGTAAACATATTGAGCTTGAGAAAGTCCAAAAATTGTCCTCCACTCCCAGAAGACATGCTACTCAAATTAAAGTGGAGACTGGGAGAGTATTGTCAGATCTATTTTGGAAAAGGAGGAGGTATCTCCTCCTGCAGCAGATGGGAGGCCTCCATGGCCTCAGGGGCAGGAGCATTACCAAGTTCTGTGCCTGGGCTTCCTATGAGGGCATCTCCATGGCTACTTTTCTAACATCCCTAGAAACAAGGACCAGACTAATGTAGACATCTGCCAGAGGGCAACTGGAATTTTCCACATGGAACCACCACACCCTTGATGGAGAATGCCAGGAAGGGAGGAGTGGGAGAAAGGCTAATAGAAGAGGGGAGATGAAGAGTCAAAGGGTCAGCAGAGAGAACCACCAATTAGCTTGAGTGAACAGCCCAGGACTCCAGCCTTGGGGAACACACTGGAGAAATGAGGAGCTGGCTTGGATAATGGAGAGGCTACAAAGTCACCCCAGAGGGATGAGACAGGGTAAGACATGGCCTAACATGTCAGGAAGAGAGACCAGGAACGTAAAGAGAGTCTGGTAGGGAAGGGTTGGGCTACACAGGGCTGCAAAGTCTCCGATCTTTATACCTGTTGCTGGCCTTAAGGGGGTGAGCATTGTCAGTTGAGTCCAATAAACATGACCACAAAGGATGCCCCTATGTCTGAGCAGAGGGACAGGGATGTTTCCTGAGCAGAGTGAGAAGTTAGAGCCTATGGAGGGATGGCCTTCAAGAATGGGGGGCTGGGGGGAGGCTAAGTGTCTCAGTCAGTTAAGGATCTAACTCTTGGTTTTGGCTCAGGTCATGATCTCATAGTTTCATGAGTTTGAGCCCTGCATTGGGCTCTGCGCTGGCAGCGTAGAGCCTGCTTGGGATTTTCTCTCTCCCTCTCTGTCTCTGTCCCTCCCCCTGTCAGGCTGTTTCTGTCTCTCTCAAAATAAATAAATAAACTTAAACATTAAAAAAAAAAAGAATGGGGGGCTGGAGAACTCTGTGGGTGGGGGTACCTGCCACCTTCCACAGCGTTCATGCCTACATGCTCCCATTTGTGATGCAATCTGTGATTCTTGAGTATAAGAACAAAAACTGGGGCCCTTGGGTGGCTCAGTTAGTTGAGTGTCCGACTTTGGCTCAGGTCATGATCTCACAGTCCATGAGTTCGAGCCTCGCATTGGGCTTGCTGCTATCAGTGTAGAGCCTGGAGCCTGCTTCAGATCCTCTGTCTTCCCCCACCCCCCCTCTGACCCTCCCCCTCTCATTCTCTCTCTCTCTCTCTCAAAAATAAATAAAAAATTTTTTAAAAATAACAAAACCTTCATGATGGGGGCCCCCAATTTCCTCCTTGCCTTCTAACCTTGCTCCTTTTCCTTTCTTGTTTGCAAGACCTTTCACCTTGCAAACTATGACTAGACCATAAGCCACAAGGCTTGCAAAGAAACTTCTTGGAATATACTATTCTGATGGTGTTAGGATTGCACCTGGGCAAGGGGCACAAAAACAGAAACAACCTCCAAACCGTGAGTTTCCACTGAAGTCCAACACTGCTTCCTAAACCCACACTGCACGTCCGCAAAGTCAGCTTCCCCTCTCCTATAAACACCCTGGCCCTGCTTTAATCTGGGGCCACCTGTCCCTCAGGTGTTCTCTGATGTGCATCAGTTGAATAACTCTTTAATCTTTATTCAAGTCACCTAAATAACTTTCTTTTGACAGCTGGTACTCAGACAAATGGTCCTAGAACATTATTTGGGTCATCCGTTCCAAGGCTGTCTTCTGGCAAGTGTCCGGTGGTGTTCAGACGGGGCGGGATCAGCCTCTCTCCCCCATGTCACTGGGCTTTGTCTGGCACCACTCTACTGAGCACAGGGCCATGGGGCACAGGCGGAGTGTGAGCGTGTGTGTGGGTGACTAAGAGCAAACCAGATGAGCGCCGGGAAGATGACACCCTGCAAGGAAAGGAGGTGGTGTGGGGGAGGGGCAGGGGAAGAGAAGTTGAGTCTCCTTCAGTGTGTGCAGATCGTGAATTTCATCTCCTGAACTGAGGAATGAAGAATTAGAACTTGCTTTATATTCCATGACTCTACTTAACTTCTCACTCCAGTCCCATTCTGCCGGGCTGTAGGAAAAACGACGTTCGTCCTTTCTGGGACACCTCACCTTCTAGGTGGTCCTGCTTTCCTGGGTCTTGCACAGTGCCAAGGCCCTGGGGTAGGGAAAGCTCTGTGGTCCTTAGTCATCAGGCCTGCGGTTGTCATTCTGATTGCTTCTGGACAGGCAACTCTTGGTGACACCCGTGCCGGGAGCCTATCTTGAATGTATCTCTCTCTGGAGTCTGGCCACCTCCCTGGTGGGGCTGCCAGGAAATAGGGCAGTGCCCCATCCTCCCCCGGGACCATGGCCTCACTCTTCCTTCTCTTATGCCCAGTGGCGAGCAATCTATTTTCAGTCTGGGGAGAATCCGTCTCCTCTTATGTTTCTTTGACTATGGTTATTCTCAGGAATTCACTTGTAAGTGTAAAGGCAACAGCAGCAGGACTTTCAGAGCATGTCTATTTTCTGACTTGCCACATGCCTCGGCTGAAGCAGTGTGCACCAAGCTGACTTAAACGAGAAGGAAAAAGGAAACAGATGGGGAAAGAGTACATACATTTATGTATCAGTTCGAAATCTTCTGGTTTCTCCCCGCCTCCCATGTCATCTGCTCTAAGCTGAGGCTGGGAGCCTGGGGTTTGGAATGTGTGGGTTGGGGAATGCTCCCTGGAGCTGAGGGTGGGGCCAATCCCTACCAGGGCAGCTTGGCTAGGGATAGGAGAAGGAGGTTCTCCAAACGGAGTATTACCATAAAGGAGGGAATTAGAGCAGCAGGAAATACTCGGCAGTCTTCTGTGACCTTTCCCTATTCCATAATGACTAGATGTTTCTCCTCTGTGTCCCCAGAACACTTTCCTCCACTGGCACAGACCGCAGTCTGGCTTCATTCCTGCCTCCCTCTTCAGACAGAGAGCTCCCAAACTGAGGACCTGTATTTGTTCGTCTGGGGACCCTAAGCCCCTGAAAGGTAAAGACTGAGTAAGTAACTCATTGGAATGTTATGGAATCCCTGTCCCTGCTGCAGGTGACTGGCCTGCAATGGGTGACTGAGGCCTGGGTGTGGAAATTGTGGCTGACACTAAACTGTGCCACTCAACAAAATTAGGATCAGTGGATTCAAAGCATGGGCCAAAGCAAGCCAGATAAAATGTAATGCTTCAAAACATAAAACCGTGGACTTGAATTGCAAAATTCAGCTGGGATGAAAGTGATTTGATGAAAGAGTAGAGCCTATAGGCAAGATGTAGAGGTTCTAATTACCTTCAACTCAGTATGAGTCAATAATGTTACATGACTGGCAAAGAACAAAAATCAGAGTAAAAACAGGTAGTTTGATATAAGGCTACATTAGGAGAAGTATGCCATCTAAAACAAAGGAGGTGATAGCCCTCTTATTTCCCTCACTGCATCCAAGTCAAATCTTTCCTGGGATATAACGTCCAGCCCTGTGCACTATGTCTCCTGGGACACATGACTGAACAGAATACCTTCAAATAAAAGTAATCAGGAGGGTGCTTTCATCTCAAAACCTGATCTTGTCTTGTCTTTAAATGGTACTGTATGTACTCGATATCCCTGTGGAAAAAAAGGAACGTACTGAAAACTAACACACAAATACACAAAGTTTAACTCAACACAGAACTGAAAACTATAAACGTCAAGAAGAAAACATTAAGAGAAGATTCTTTGCAATGCTGGGGTTGGTAAAGATTTCTTAAAACATAAACTATAAAAGAAAAATAATGACACATGGACTTCATCAAAATTCACCCAGAATTCTTTGAAACTCGCCCAGAAGAAAACAAAAATGCAAGCCACAGACTGGGAGAAAATATGTGCAGTTCATGTATAAGACAAAGAACTTGCAGCCAAACATAAAGAACTCTTTAACTCAGTAAGAAGAAGACAAAACAATACAGTAAGAAAACATGCAAAAGATTCAAATAGACACTTCACAAAAAAAGACATACAAATGGCCAATAAGCCATGCAAAGATGTTCAACATCATGATTCATTAAGAAAATAAAAATCAAAATACCATATACTTAACAGAATGGCTAAAAGTAATGAGTCTGACCCTACTGATTGTTGGCAAGGCCGTGGAGCAACAGGAACTCTCACACACGGCTGGTGGGGATGTGAAGTGATGTAACCGCTTGGAAAACAGCATGACAGTTTCCTAAAATGTCAAACATACACTTGGCCTACGAACTAGCCATTCTACAACTATGTATTTACCCAAGAAAAATGAAAATACATGCCCACACAAAGAATTATACACATGATAACAAATCTTTATTTGTAATATTAAAAAAAAAACTTGGAAGCAACACAAATGTACATCACCAGGTGAAGATATAAAGAAATTATATGGGGCACCTGGGTGGCTCAGTCGGTTAGGCGTCCGACTTCGGCTCAGGTCGTGATCTCGCGGTCCGTGAGTTCGAGCCCCGCATCGGGCTCTGTGCTGACAGCTCAGAGCCTGGAGCCTGTTTCGGATTCTGTGTCTCCCTCTCTCTGATCCTCCCCCATTCATGCTCTGTCTCTCTCTGTCTCAAAAATAAATAAACATTAAAAAAAATTTTTTTTTAAATTATGGTATATCCATACTGTGGAATATTACTCAGCAAGAAAAAGGAACAGACTGTGCATGTGTGCAACAACCTGGATAAATCTCAAAATAGTTATGCTAAATGAAAGAAGCTAGACAAATAAAGTACATGCTCTCTGATCCCATTTATATATAATTATAGATACATGCATATATATTTATATTTATATACATTCCAGAAAATGCAAACCTGTCTGAAGTGTCAGTGTAGTTGGTGCTGATGCAAATTGTCATCCTGATTGCAGTGATGTGTACATATGTCAAACTGAACAAATAGCACACTTTAAATATATGCAATTTTGTGTATTTCAATTATGTCTGTGAAATTGGGGGAGGGATCTTCTCTTGGAAGTACGTAAAGTCACATCAGACGTGGCTGGCACTAGCATTGAAAATTCTAGGATTGTTGAGACAAGAGACTAGTAAAGCGATGCCTGGAAGGCCTGAGGGCTGCCCCCGGTGTTGAAGTGCCCGGGGAGAAAAGGCGAGGGTTCTGGAGAAGGGGTCACTTCTTGCGTGGAAGATCTTGCGGCACGATCTGCTGTATGGTCGCCAAATTCAGGCAGAGAAAGTCAAGTGTCAATGCCCATGGGGATCCTGTTCCAGAAGAAACCAACTGGAATTTGCTTTCTGGACTTTGTCTGAAAGTTTCACATTAGTAGCCACCAGACAAGAGTTTTCCCTGCCAAGTTTGTGATTGGGGTGGGTTATAAGTGGACAGGAGTTGGCCAAACCAAATGTTAGAGTCTGACACATGCTGTGGCAGAGCCACTTGACCTTCCCCACATGACACAGCCAGTGTGGCTTCCCTGTGACCCTTCAGCTGAGCATTTGCACTGGCCATTGTCCGGTTCTGAGCACCACGTCACTGCCTTCTGCTCCTCTGTATCTGAGGAGTGGTTTCAAGACTTAGAACTGTAATGTGATCGTTGTTACCACTGCTGATTAATAACATGGGCCGGCATTTGTTTAATACCTGACCGTGGATACGATTGCAAAATTAGACTCCAAACTATCCAATGTCCTATAGGCATTAAAATCATACCTTTTGGGGTGATTCTTTCTTTTGGAAAGAAATCACGTGCAACATCGATCTTCTACTGGGTAATGAGGTATCAGCTAATTTAAAAAGTGTTCCTCGTTGGTGAATTAGTAGACATTACTGACGATGCACTTTACATGTATTCATTCTATCTTCAAAACAACCTATGGGATAGGAACTAGTATTACTCTCATTTTACACAGAAGGAAACTGAGACACTGAGAGATAGAAGAATAATTACCCAAACTCAGGGAATAAGACAAAAAAAAAAAATGATGACTTCATCTATCAACATCATACAAAGAGCTTTTAGTGACAAGCCTCCTAATGGCCATATAATTATCTGTGGGTGAGGTGGAGTGTAATTTTATTTGACCTACTATGTAGTATTTACTGTGTTACCTAAATGGGGATGTAGGGAGGGCACCAAGGTGGCTCAGTCAGTTGAACATCTGACTTTGGCTCAGGTGATGATCTTGAGGTTTGTGGGTTCAAGCCCCGCATCGGGCTTACTGCTGTCAGCGCAGAACCCACTTCAGATTGTTTGTCTCTCTCTCTCTCCCTCTCTCTCAAAAATAAATAAACCTCAAAAAAAATCCCTTGGAAGTTGTAAATGGAATCAATATGTCAGCTCCCACACTAGAAAGTAGAAGAGATGGGGTGAGGACAACAGCCACGGGTTTTCCAGCAGTAAGAGAAAGGGCCAGAGAAGGGTCCCGGTAGCTTGTGAATCAAGTCCCCATTCCAACTAACTCATTAAAATATTCATCACTAACATGAAAGTACTTGACCTTGCAAAATGATAACAGTGCCAGACCCCAATTAGATGCAATGGCAATTAGTTTTTTTAAAATGGTGTATCCAGAAGACAGGTGCTGCTGATACAAGTGGGTTGTTACCCATCTGCTGAAGTAAGTGCCACTTTCCTCGTCATCTGGGATGCTAGCACAGTGTTAGGCCAATGGGGAAACATCATTGGTGAAAGCAAAAATATTAGAACCAACCTAAAAGTGTAGGTGAAGTTAAATAAATTATTTGTGGAATTCTCTGTACCTGGTTTTCAAAATGAGGGGTTCCTTGCCATGCTCTGGGAAGGTGTCCATGGTTCTCATGCCCACACAGCAGCAGCCCTAAGAAAATAATTATTAAAAAAAATTTTTTTTAACGTTTATTTATTTTTGAGACAGAGACAGAGCATGAACGGGGGAGGGGCAGAGAGAGAGGGAGACACAGAATCGGAAGCAGGCTCCAGGCTCCAAGCCATCAGCCCAGAGCCCGACGCGGGGCTCGAACTCACGGACCATGAGATCGTGACCTGAGTCGAAGTCGGACGCTTAACCGACTGAGCCACCCAGGCGCCCCAGAAAATAATTATTAAGTGAGTAAGTGGGTACATTGTTAAGTGAACAAAAGTAAACAATACATACAACAGAATTCCATTTATTGTTTCAAAAGGGGCTACATGTGTTCAAAGATATTTATTTTTTTCCTATCTGCATAAACACAGAAAATATCTGGAAGAATATGGTACCCAACTGCTACAGTGGCTACTTCTGAAAAGAGATTGGAAAGACAGAGAGGGGATTTTCCAGTTCAGAAAAGTGAAATCAGGTGCTGGAAGGTAAGTGGTCTAGAATGTATGTGAAATGACAAAAGTGAGATAGAAAACTTCACATCACATACAAACACAGTTTCCTAAGACATCTACCATGTATGTTCACTTCGAAAAAATAAAAATATACAAAAAATTAAAAGCAGTCATCTTTATATGGTGGGTCACGACTGACTGTTGTTTTCTTTGATGCTCTTTCTGTATTTTCCAAAATGCCTACAAGAAAAGTTTATTATTTTCACCAATAAACATGTACGCTTTTTAAAGGAAAAGAAAGTGGGGCACCTGACTGGCTCAGATGGTAGAGCATGTGACTCTTGATCTTGGGGTTGTGAGTTCAAGCCCCATGATGGGTGTAGAGATAGATTGCTTTAAAAAGAAAAGAAAAGTAAAGAAGCATACCCACACTGAGTTTTGTTAGTGTGAAGGCATGCATGCTCCTTAGCCCTGTAACCCAGGGGAAATTTACTGGGTTCCCTGACCACAGAGCAAGGAAATTTCTCCCCGTGGCAGGTGAGGGAGGTCTTACCCAGCCACTCACAGACTGTGACTGAGGCTCACAGGTGCCCAGATTGAAATGGGACAAACCTGTATAATCGTGCTTCCCAGACGTGCTCACTCCACACCGAGTCATCCATCCACTGGGCGCACAGGCTGGCAGTTCTTGTTCATTCACTGTGAATGTCATCACCTGTCCCCAGGCACAGTGACTTCTGGCTCATCACACTGCTCCCAATAGGTTTAGGGATTAATCACCTTTGAAATGAAATCAGGCAAGTTTGAGATAAATAGGCAAACATCACAGAAATTGAGTTCTCTGTGTATGTGTTTCCGAAGGCATGGTGCATATCCGAGAAGATGGTGTATAGGCTAGAAAGCAAGTTCAAGCATCATGACTGATGTCTCCTGACAGCCAGGGAGCCTCTCCAGACAGTAAGCTAAGAGAGCTGTACTTACCAATTTTGTCCTTCACAAGTGAGGAAAACAGAGATATTGTCATAAAAGCTTGGAACGAAAATCAACAGGGTGTAGACCTGGAGCACCCTAGTTTGGGTAGATGGGGTCATCCCTCATTGCACTGAGGTCAAGGAATCACTTCCACACGGCTCATCTAGAAATCTTGGGGTAACATGTGTCTATTCCAGTTTAAGTATTGAGTCACCAGTGCTGGGACCTCCTTCTCCTATTGACCCAGAACAATTTATGAAAGGGGGAGGGAATCTTGTATTATACCCACGTGTACAAAAATAAATGAGGTAAAATACTCATCCCCTTGTGGCTGGTGGAAACTCCCCAAAAGTCATGTTTCAAAATATATCAAGTATGTGATCTTATTTTCTTATTATTTACATTTTTTTAATGTTTTATTTATTTATTTATTTTTTGTTTTATTTATTTTTGAGAGAGAGAGCACAGCTGGGGTGGGACAGAAGGGGGGGGGGGACAGAAGATCTGAAGCAGGCTCTGGGCTGAAGGCACCAAACCTGATGTGGGGCTCGAGCTCATGAACTGCAAGATCATGACCTGAGCCCAAGTAAGATGCTCAACTGACTGAGTTGCCCAGGTGCCTCTCTCATTATTTTTAAAAAATCTACAATGAATATAGATTATTAATATAATCAGGGGGAAGTTACATAAAAAATAACTTGGGATGGGCCCAGAACACTTCATTTTTAAAACTCCTAGGTGATTCTAATTTGTACTAGATTTTGAGAACTGCTCCTCTAAACCTGTTCTTTAAAGCTCCTCAAAGAATATAATAAATATAATATAATATAATATAATATAATATAATATAATATAATATAATAATATAATACAATACAATACAATACAATACAATACAATACAAGAAAATGTAGCAACACTTGAAGGCTAAGAAAGGATACTGCCCCATGCGAGAAATATTCAGGAATATCTCTGAGATTTAGTGAAAGTAGACCAAAATACAAGGGGGGGCTGAGGCACAGTCCATCACAAATGAGGAAGAGCGCGTCTGGGCAGAAACTTGGGAACCTGCTGCTAGACAGAACCCTGGTGATGTCCCTGGGCTGTGGTTGGGAGCGGGAGAGGACTGCCTGCCAGCTGCAGGGTGCTTCAGATGCAGGATATTTTGGGCCATGTCCTCATCATTTTAAGAAATTCCCTTCTATTCCTAGTTAGAGTCTTTTTAGTTTTCCTTTCAGGAATGAGTTGATTTTTTATAAAAAAAATTTTTTGTAATCTAGTGAAATGCGCATATGTTTTTCTTCTTTAATGTGCCAATCAAGTGACTGACATTAAAATTTTCCTAAAGTTGAATCATGTTTGCATAGCTAGTATAAATCTTATTTTTAATATGCTGCTGGATTTAATTTGACTTTTTGGGGGGTAGTTTTCATCTTTATTTTTTTAACTTATTTTTTAAATTTACATCCAAGTTAGTTAGCATATGGTGCAACAATGATTTCAGGAGTACATTCCTTAATTCCCCTTACCCATTTAGCCCATCCCCCTCCCACAACCCCTCCATTAACCCTCTGTTTGTTCTCCATATTTAAGAGTCTCTTATGTTTTGTCCCCCTCCCTGTTTTTATATTATTTTTGCTTCCCTTCCCTTATGTTTGTCTGTTTTGTATCTTGAAGTCCTCATATGAGTGAAATCATGTGATTTTTGTCTTTCTCTGACTAATTTCGCTTAACATAAAACCCTCTAGTTCCATCCACGTAGTTGCAAATGGCAAGATTTCAGTCTTTCTGGTTGCTGAGTAATACTCCATTGTATATATATACCACATCTTCTTTATCCATTCATCCGTTGATGTACATTTGGGCTCTTTCCATACTTTGGCTATTGTTGATAGTGCCGCTATAAACGTGGGGGTGCATTGCATGTGTTCCTTCGAAACAGCATACTTGTATCCCTTGGATAAATACCTAGTAGTGCAATTGCTGGGTCAGAGGGTAGCTCTATTTTCAATTTTTTGAGGAACCTCCATACTGTTTTCCAGACTGGCTGCACCAGCTTGCATTCCCACCAGCAATGCAAAAAAGATCCTCTTTCTCTGCATCCTCGCCAACATCTGTTGTTGCCTGAGCTATTCTTTTGAGCCATTCTGACAGGTATGAAGTGGTATCTCATGGTGGTTTTGATTTGTATTTCCCTGATGATGAGTGATGTTGAGCATTTTTTATGTGTTGGTTGACCATTTGGATGTCTTCTTTGGAGAGGTGTCTATTCCTGTCTTCTGCCCATTTCTTCACTGGATTATTTATTTTTTGGGTGTTGAGTTTGATAAGTTCTTTATAGATTTTGGATACTAACCCTTTATCTGATATGTCATTTGCAAATATCTTGTCTCATTCCATCGGTTGACTTTTACTTTTGATGATTGTTTCCTTAGCTGTGCAGAAGCTTTTTATTTTGATGAGGTCCCAGTAGTTCATTTTTGCTTTTGTTTCCCTTGCCTCTGGAGACATGTTGAGTAAGAAGTTGCTGTGGCCAAGGTCAAAGAGGTTTTGCCTGCTTTCTCCTTGAGGATTTTGCTGGCTTCCTGTCTTACATTTAGATCTTTCATCCATTCTGAGTTTATTTTTGTGTATGGTGTAAGAAAGTGGTCCAGGTTCATTCTTCTGCATGTCACTGTCCAGTTTTCCCAGCACCACTTGCTGAACAGACTATCTCTATTCCATTGGATAGCCTTTCCTGCTTTGTCAAAGATTAATTGGCCACACGTTTGTGGGTCCATTTCCGGGTTCTCTATTCTGTTCCATTGATCTGAGTGTCTGTTCTTGTGCCAGTACCCTACTGTCTTGATGGTTACAGCTTTGCAGTATAGCTTGAAGTCCAGGATTGTGATGCCTCCTGCTTTGGTTTTCTTTTTCAAGATCGCTTTGGCTATTTGGCATCTTTTGTGGTTCCATACAAATTGTAGGATTCTTTGTTCTAGCTCTGTGAAGAATGCTGGTGTTATCTTGATAGGGATTGCATTGAATATGTAGATCGCTTTGGGTAGTATCGACATTTTAACAATATTTGTTCTTCCTATCCAGGAGCATGGAATCTTTTTCCATTTTTTTGTGTCTTCTTCAGTTTCTTTCATAAGCTTTCTATAGTTTTCAGTGTATAGATTTTTCACCTCTGGTTAGATTTATTCCTAGGTATTTTATGGGTTTTGGTGCAATTGTAAATGGGATCGATTCCTTGATTTCTCTTTCTGTCACTTCATTGTTGCTGTATAGGAATGCAACCGATTTTTGTGCATTGATTTTATATCCTGCGATTTTAATGAATTCATGGATCAGTTCTAGCAGTGTTTTGGTGGAATCTTTTGGGTTTTCCATATAGAGTATCACGTCATCTGCGAAGAGTGTAAGTTTGACCTCCTCCTGACCTATTTGGATGCTGAAGCTAAGACTTCCAATACTATGTTGAATGACAGTGGCAAGAGCGGACATCCCTGTCTTGTTCCTGACCTTAGGGAGAAAGCTCTCAGTTTTTCCCCGTTGAGGATGATATTAGTGGTGGGTCTTTCATATATGGCTTTTTTGATCTTGAGGTATGATCCTTCTATCCCTACTTTCTTGAGGGTTTTTATCAAAAAAGGATGTTGTATTTTGTCAAATGCTTTCTCTGCATCTATTGAGAGGATCATGTGGTTCTTGTCCTTTCTTTTATTGATGTGATGTATCACATTGATTGTTTTATGGATATTTAACCAGCCCTGCATCTCAGGTATAAATCCCACTTGGTCGTGGTGAGTAATTTTTTTAACGTATTGTTGGATCTGGTTGGCTAATATCTTGTTGAGGATTTTTGCATCCATGTTCATCAGGGAAATTGATCTGTAGTTCTCCTTTTCAGTGGGGTCTTTTTCTGGTTTTGGAATCAAGGTAATGTTGGCTTCATAGAAAGAGTTTGGAAGTTTCCCTTCCATTTCTATTTTTTGGAACAGCTACAAGAGAATAGGTGTTAACTCCTCCTTAAATATTTGGTAGAATTCCCCGGGAAAGCCATCTAGCCCTG